ATATTAAACCAACATGAAACACCTCTACAAATCTACTATAAGGCTAAATTTTAACAGATGGAACATATCAAGTATAGATGAGATATGGAGCAACTGAAACTCTCATATACTGCTATGCTAACTCTTACAACCACTCTGGAAAGTGGTTTGGAATTATTACTAAAATCGAACATACGCATAGCCTATGCAGTAATTCTACGCCTATAAATAACCAATAGAAACACTTATATATAGAATTACCAAAAGACATAGACTATTCATGGCAGCACTATGCAAAAATAGTTCCAAACTAGAAATTACCTGGGTGCCATAGAATAAATGAACATACACATATACATACACACACAAACAAATAATAAAACATTAAATATGTGATGTATTCATACAATGCAATACAATGTAGACTATAGAGTGATAAGAACTTATACAAAATAACATGGATTAATCTCACCAACATAATGTGGAACAAATGGAGCCAGTCATAGAAAGGATACACAACTGCATCATTCCTTTTAGACAGAATCCAAAAACAGATTGAAGTGATTTGTGTGTCTAGAAGTCAGATAAGGACTATTGGAGAGACAAGTAGTGACCAGAGGAAACATGAAAAGGATCTTTTTCGCTATCATTCTGTGTCTTGATCTAGGTAATGGTTATGCAGCTATTAATACAATAAAAAGGATGAAATGTACCAAGCTATGCCTTTGTGCACATATGTTACAAATATTCAAGAAAAAGTAAACTTTAGGTAATTTAAGCAGAGAAATGGAAAGTCTAAGAAAGAATCAAAAGGAAATGCTAACAATCAAACATATTATACATAACAAAAATGAAGAATGCTTCTGGTGGGCTAACCAATAGACTGGACATGACCAAGGAAAGCATCAGTGAGCTGGAATAATTGTCAATAGAAACTTCCAAATATGAAATCCAAAGAGAAAAAAGAGTAAAAAGACAGTACGGACTATCTAAGAACTGTGAAAAAGTTACAAAAGGTGTAATATATGTGTAATGGGAATAACTGAAGGAAAATAAAGGAAACAACATACAGAAGAAATATTGCAGCAATAATAACTGAGAATTTTCCCAGACCAGTGACATATACCAAACCACAGACCCAGAAAGCTCAGAGAACACCAACCATGAACATTCCAAAATAGATACATCCAGGCATAAGCGATTCAAATGGCACAAAATTAAAACAAAGAGAAAAACCCTGAAGGAATTTAGAGGAAACAAATCACCTTGCCGATAGGAGAACAAGAATAAAAATGACAGTGAATCTCTCTTCAAAAATTACGAAAGCAAGAAGAGTGAAGTGACATATTTCAAGTATTAAAAGGAAAGAATCACCATCCATTGAATGCTATACTCAGTGAAATCATTCTTTAAGAGTGAGGGAAAGATAAAGTCTGTCTCTGACAGACAAAAATTGAGAGAGCATTTGTCACCGGTAGACCTGTCTTATAAGAGATGTAAAAAGAACTTCAGGAAAATGATATAGGTCAGAAACTTGGAACTACATTAAGAAAGGAAGAGCACGAGAAAAGAAAAACCTAAAGAAAAATATACCTTTATTTCTCTAATTCTTATCTATTGATCAATAGGTAACTGTTTGTTCAAAATAATAACATTATATGCAGTGATTATAGCTTAGGGAGAAATGAAGTGAATGAGAGCAGAGCCATAAGGAATGGGAGGCACTGGAATACTTGGTTATAAAAGCTTGCATTCCCCATGCAGTGGGATCGTGTTATTTGAAAGTGGCTTGGATTAGTTTAAATGTATATTGAACACTCTAGGATCACTACTAGAAATAAAAAAATATATATAATTTATAAGCTAACAGGAAGAAAGACGTGGAATCCTACAAAATGTTCAATTAAATCATAAGGGGGGAAAAGCACAATCCATAAAATAAAAAATCAATACATTTTGAATTCAATTAAAATTAAAGACTTCTGCTCTACGTAAGACATTGTGAAGGGAATTAAATACAAGGCACAGACTGAGGAGAAATCTTTGCAAAACACATATGGATAAAGCACTGGTATCTAAAATACACAAAGAATTCTTAAAACTTGAAAATAGAAAAATACACAGCCCGATTAAAAATGGGCAAATGATATCTCAACATGTGTCATTACGAAAATTAAAACAATGAGCTACCACAACACAACTATCAGAATATGCCAGATTCAAAACACTGACAATCCCAAACGCTCTTACTGGTGAGGATGTGGAGCAACAGGAATTCTCATTCATTGCTGGTGGGAATGCAAAATGGCGCAGTTTGAAGGTAGTTTGGCAGCTTCTTGTGAAACTAAACATATCTTTACCATATGATCTAGCATTGCATTCCTTGGTATCTACTCAAATGAGTTGAAAACTCACACCCTCACAAAAACCTGCACATAATGTTATTATCAGGTGAATGGATAAATAAACTATAGCATGTCCATACCATGAAATATTATTCAGAAATTTCAAAACAAAAAGTTCAAGCTACAAAAAGACATAAAGAAAAAATTAGTACATATTTCTAAGCAAAAGAAGCCAACCTAATAAGGCTACATGCTATAAGATTACAAATATATGACACTCTGAAAAAGATGATGGAGATGGTAAAAAAAAAAAAAAAATCATTGATTGCCAAGGGTTCAGAGAGAGGAAAGCAGGGATGAATAGGAAGAACAACAGAGAATTTTTAGGACAGCAATATTACTACCATATTTTCCGGTGTATAAGACGACCCCTCAATTTTACAGTTAAAGCATAGGTTTAGGTCTATATTCGCTGTATAAGACTACCCCCCACTTCCAAGGCAACACCAGTTCTTTTTTATTTATTTATTTTTTAAAATATTTTATTGATTTTGTACAGAGAGGAAAGGAGAGAGAGTTAGAAACATCGATGAGAGAGAGTCATCAATCAGCTGCCTCTTGCACACCCCCTACTGGGAATATCCCCGCAACCAACGTACATGTCCTTGACCGGAATTGAACCCGGGTCCCTTAAGTCCCCAAGCCGACGCCCTATCCATTGAGCCAAACCGGTTTCGGTCAGTTCTTTTTTTAATAGACCGCCACTCTGACTCTGGCCAATCTGAGCAGGGTTTTTACTAGAACATAGTGTAGCTTCGGGTACAGAACATGTATAATTTGCATGCATAAAAAGCCTGCTTGGATTGGCTGAGTTAGAGAGGCGGTTCGAGCAGCCTTGCAGTGATTGGTGCGGGATTGAGTTGGAAAATTCGTTTAGCGGCATATCCAGACGATTTTCAGGATATACTCAGTGTATAAGACGACCCCCCCCCCCCCGATATATTATTATTATTTTTTTGGTTGACTTTTTTTCGGTTCAAAAGTTGTCTTATACGCCGGAAAATATGGTATTTTGAATGGTAGATACATTAATTATACATTTGTCAAAACCCATAGAATGTATAACAAAAAGAGTGGACCTTAATATAAACTATAGACTTTAGTCATTAATAATATTTTGATGTTAACAACTGTACCATACTGATGTTAAAAAGAGAGAAAATTGGGGGATGAGTGAGGGGATATATGGGAAGTCCATGATTTTTGATAAAATTTTTATAAACCTAAAATTGTTCCTCCTAAACAAAAGACTGTTAATAGTTTTCTTTTCTTTTTTTTTTTTAAATATATTTTATTGATTTTATACAGAGAGGAAGGGAGAGAGTTAGAAACATCGATGAGAGAGTCATCAATTAGCTGCCTCTTGCACACCCCCTACTGGGGATATGCCGGCAACCAAGATACATGGCCCTTGACCGGAATTGAACCCGGGATCCTTCAGTCCCAAGCCGATGCTCTATCCATTGAGCAAAACTGGTCCCGGCTTAATAGTTTTCTTATATCAAAGCATCTAGTTAACAGGTTTTTCTGAGATAATTTGAATAATGAGAAAGAAAAATATAGATAGGAAAGCTTTAGGTTAAATTACTGGTGAATTTTGAGTATCATGATTTGAGAAAGTTTTAAATGACCCATTATAGCATATTTTCATAATGAGATGTTGGTAAAATATGGCACTACAGTATATGAATATGATTAATGTTGTGAGCAGTAAAGACCTATTTATCTATAGTTTCCAACTATATTCTGAGAAAGAGAAGAACTTTCACGGCAGTCTTATAATAAATTAAAAGGTACTGGTCATTCCTTTTTTATTTCTTTTCTGGTCTTTGCTTCTTTAAAGTGCTTTTATTTTATTTTTATTTGAACTATTTCTTTATTCACTTGAATAGGCAAAAGACAATAGGAATAAACTTATTTTTAATGTGACAATGTATTACCTCTATTTCTCCTCTACTTTACAGACTAGGTGGGATGTTTCACTGTGGTAAGCCCTGCCTGTGAAAATGAGTAGCTTCATCAAATTAGGCCCTAAGTAAAAAATTTACATTGAACTTAGGTAAACACCTGAGTGATCGAATTGAAGGAGAGACATTACTTTTGTCAAAATAACCAGAAAGCAATCAGAGAAAATACAATGTTTATGAACAGACATGGGAAGCACATTTGTATTTTTAGAAAGTTCAACTAACTGTTCTCTGAGGTGAAGACCATGCTAAGAACAACCATGATATCGCTAAATGGGCAGGAACTATCCATCATATTTCTAGGTATGGTGCATAATAAGGTGAACATAGCTTTGCAGAAGAAGTGAATTAATGAATACACTATGTGTTCCCTAAGAGGAGAGAAGGACCTACAAATTGAAAGAGATTTTAACTTGAGTTAGTAAAGTTCCAAATCTGATTCATGTCCATCACTGCCTTCTAATGTTTTGAGCACAAGGCATAGTTGCATGGGAAGTTTGGAGTATTAGGATGAAAACAGACTTGACTAAGTTGGGTTAATTGCTACTTGATATTTAAAAATTACCCAAAATTTCACATAAGAAAGAATTAGCTAAACAGATGTTTTTTCTCCTCCTGCTCAGTCCAACTTAGAAAATAGACCTCTTACCTTATGAAATCTTCTTCATCTTCTCTCTTTGGCCTCAGCTGTTTGGGCTGAGCCATGTTCATCCAGTTTGGTAGCGATTTCAGGAGTCTGCTGATGTCATCATCTTTGGCCCAAGATGCACTGATGACAAGTTTTTCTTCCGACTGGACGATGCCCCTAAACACATGGCAGGAAAGAGACACATCAGCATATGGCTTCATGTCTGACTGGCACTTGTCACCTACTTCTGCTACACAGAAACGATGCCTCACTCCTCTCTCATTAACATAATCAGTAACACCATTAATAGGTCCCATTACTGGGAACAACCATTTCTAGACTTCGTTCTCAGATTCTTCATTATTGAGTCATCTTAAAGGCTAAGAATACTAACTAGCCCTTCTTTATGGTAGGTTTTTTTTTTGGGGGGGGGGGTATATTTCAATAAAGATGCTAAATAAGGTGGAGAAACCATGTAGAAGAACGCTATTAAATGACAACATAAATGGTACTGAAAGGTGAAAGTGTTATAAAGGGTTGTCCTCTGGCTCCTCGGTTTAAACTATCAATGAGTTCTAGTTGAAGTTACTCTCTGAACTGTGAACACCCCTGCATTCAAAGCAAATGCACCATCACAGAGAAACCTCCGCCCCGATCCCAGCAGAAAGGCTCTCATTCTCGCCCTCTCCGGTGGCCATGACAGTGGCCCGGAGGTGACTGGTTCAGGTCCTTTAACAGGGCCCGAGGGTTATCCACTGACACTGCTCTTACCAGAAGGTACTTGTAAAGTCATCTTAAATGTTCAATTTCAACTTCATTAAAAAGCTCCTCTTCCTGTTTAACATTTCTGTCCCTGTCACTAATGTGAATGGTCTAAAGTCTTCATCAGCAATTGTGGGGACAGAGCGACAATGATTTATGAAGGGAGTACTGATTAGTTAGCTCCCTCAAAGCTGACCAGGGCTCCAGGAGGCTCCCCACAGCCCAGGCAGGGACTTATTGTGGGATGGGGGTTTATTGGAGACGCCACGCAGTTCTCTACATACAACATACGTGTGATGTACTAGTATATGCACATATGTTCGAGAAAACCTCCTTTACCCAAAAGTAGTTTAATGTTTGTAGACAAAATAAGTTGTAGCTGAAACCCTTGACTCATAAAAACCTGACCCCAGGTAACAGGGCCTCCTGGCTGCCTGAAAATGAGCATGAATAACCAGAGAACCAAAGTTGATTTCTAGAATTCTTCTCACCCTAAGCAAAAGTGTTCTCACAGTACTATGGTTAATGGTACAAAAATACACTCTCAACTTACTCACACTGGTACCTTCAATCCCCATTCCTCCTGCCTATATTCTTATATAATTTGTAAATTAATCCCACAATCTAACTTTTACACTTTCTATGCTTGGGGGACTGGGTGCCACGTTAAGGAGTGGCATCATCTCACATTTATGGTACCCCACACCAGATGGACCCTCCATGCTCTTAGGCATTATTCTTACCTGTCATTGATCGACTTCTTCTCCCATTTCCCTCAATGACTGTTTTTTAAGCCTTTCCCCTTCATTTATCTCCTCATTGCTTCCTCCCCCCACTCCAGTCTTCCTATGTGACAGAGGAGGGGACCTAATGACATACTTTCAAACATTCCACCTCTGACCCTCCTCAGAAGTATATGCAAATCTGTTTCATCCTCATTCATCCCTCAATCTCTCTACCTAGGCTTTTAAGAGATCATTCCCTCCCCCTCCCAATTATCCCCTCCTTTTCCTTTATATCTAGTCTCTTCTTCATCATGACTTATCTTTTTGTGGTTTCAGTTACCAATGGTCAACAGTGGTCTGAAAACATTAGATGAAAAATTGCAGCAATAAATAGTTGATAAGTTCAGAGAAGTGGGATGAAATCCTGTGGACCCCACCCAGTTTGCGACTCCTCCCTCTGTCCCGAATCTCCACACTGACACCCCCTGCCCATTAGTTACCTAGCAGCCATCTCATTATCAGATTGACGGCTATGGCATCACAGTGCCTGTGTTTAAGGATCACTTATTTTACTTAATAAGGGCCCAAAGCACAGAAGTGATGTTGGCAATTCAGACATGCCAAAGATAAGCCATAAAGTACACCTCTGAAGTGAAAAGGAAGTCCTCAATTTAGGAAGAAAAAAAAAATGCATGCTGAGGTTGCTAAGATCTCTGATAAGAAGGAAGATTCTACCCATAAAATTATGAAGAAAAATTCATGCCAGTTTTGCTGTCTCACCTCAAACTGCAAAAGACCCAGCCACAACAGTATGTAATAAGTACTCAGTCAAGATGGAAAAGACATCAAATTTGTTAGTGGAAGAAATGAATGGAAAATGTATCCTGACTGAGAGCCATAGGCCAGGCTCCCCAAAACCATGACCCCAAGCCGTTCATTGCAAGTGAGGATGGTTCACAGATGCAGGAAGAGGGCTGGATTGAAAATACAAAAAGCACTGATAGTATCACTACATTGTTCTATTGTGTTACTACTTATTGTTAATCTCTTATTGTGCCTAATTTATAAATTAAATTTTATCATAGGTATGCATACATAGGAAAAAGCAGTATATACTGGGTTCAGCACTATATCCACTTTCAGGCATTTACTGGGTGTCTTAAAACGTATCCCCCACAAATAAGAGGGGACTATTACCTATAATAATGAAAGTGTAATATGCTAATTAGACCAGACAGCTGAATGACCTTCTGAACTAAGCCAAGGTGGTGGGAGCTGAGGCAGAGGCAGTTAGGAGCTATCAGGCAGGCAGAGTGGTTAGGGACAATTAGGCAGTCAAGAGAGTGGTTAGGGGCAATCAGGCAGGCAGACGAGGGGTTAGGAGCCAGTGGTTCCAGATTGTGAGAGGAATATCTGGCAGTAGGATATCCCCTGAGGGGTCCCAGATTGCAAGAGGGTGCAGGCTGGGCTGAGGGACCTCCCTTCCTGTGCATGAATTTCGTGTACTGGGTATCTAGTCCATAATAATAGAAGTATAATATGCTAATTAGATTGGATGTCCTTCTGGATGACCTTCCTAATGAAGCTGGAGCTGAGAGGGAAACCGAGGTCCTGGATGCCAGAGGGAAGTCAGTGCTGGCAGCAGGGAAAGGAAGGCCTACTCTTGCACTAATTTTGTGAATTGTGCCTCTAGTTTGTTCTGCAAGCTCTGCCTCAGTGGCACTTTTCTCCTGTAAGAATCCCACATATGCCCTGAGTTTTGCAGATGTTATATTAGGTTGTTTACATTTGTCTCTTCTGGATCCTATGGGTTTCACTAATTCTAAATAAGTTTTTAAGGTTTTTTTTTTTTTTTTTTTTTTTAGTTTAAAAGTTTTTCTCCCCATATGAGTAGTGCAATTTGTACGTGTCACAGGAGTGGAATTCTGATTTCCTTTCATGGCCACCTTTTCTACTCCTAGAAAAGGTGGGTGGCTCATTCTCAAGCCCAGAGTTCTGCTGGCTCCTTTTATGAATGAATTTATAACTTCTGCACAGATAAAACTGCCTGGCATGCAGGTGTTAAAATGCGGCCTTTTGGTTCTTAATTTCTGATATAACCTGAAGTAAATTTAACATATTGGAATCCTAACACTAACATGACAGTGTTAGGAGGTGGGGCCTTAGGTAAGTGATTGGTTCAAGAGGGTGGTGCCCTTGTGAGTGGGATTAGTGACCTCCTAATGAATTCCAGACCATTCCACCATGTGAGGATAAAAACCTGTGACTGGAAGAAGGTCCTTGCAGTACCATGATCTTGGACTTTCAGTATCCAGAACTGTGAGAAATAAATTTCTGTTGTTTATAAGCCACCCAGTCTGTGGTATTTTGTTATAGCTACTCTAAGAGACTCAGACAACTTCACACCATGGTCCTGATACTTTCAGGGGCCACTCCACTTTAACATTTGTTGATTTTTTGGCTTTTAGTTTCTCTTTTATTTGAGGCATCTGGAGAATTTCTTCTTCCTTTTGAATTTGGATATATATTAGAAAAAACATTTTTATCTGTTCTTTGAGCTGGCAGTAGGAAAAGAGCTTCCTAAATCTAGCTACACCACACTTTTGGCTGAAGTCAAAATTCTGTCTTAAATTAACTGCTGCCCTGCCTTCTAATCTCAGACCTGTATATCCAAAGGCTTACAGGATAACTTCACTTGAAAGTTCTACCAGAATTTCAAATAAATATTATTCATCTTTTTCTCTCCCACTAAACATCTAATATTCATGTTTTTGTCAACAGTTCATCCATTCATGTTGCCATCCATAGTTATCACATCCTGCAGGTCCACCTCCTTAGAATATTATGAATCTGCCATTTTCTGACCAGGTTTGGTCATGACCTATATTTAGACCCTCATTATTTCTCACTGGGACTTGGCAGTGACCTTGTAACTAGGTATCTTGCCTGGAACTTCAAGACCATCAGTCCAACTTACAGCACTAGTTGGAAGAGTTATTTCTCTAAATTTGTTCAAACACCATCATCTTATCCTCTTAGAATTCTTCACTGACTCCTAATTCTAAGACCAAGTTACACTTAGCAAGCCATAAACATCTACCTTTGCAGCTTCATCTCCTGCTACTGTTTCCTGCTCTGTTCCTGTTCACTACCCCAGACAAACCCTGGCCCAACCTGTGCTGGCTAAATACCCTACCCATGATGAGTACTGGAAAGTTTTTAGAATGGAATATACCATTTCATGCTTCTGTGTATTATCTATGCCCAGAGAGCTTCTCTTCATCTTTCTTACTTGCCTCTGTTGATCAGGATTATGTTGGCTCTTCCTTAGGACAGCTGAGTCCTCTCCTTTGAGCCTCTATGGTGACTGCACATTGTGATAAACTGGACCAACCCAAGACCAAGTAAATGAGACTCGCAGAGGATGAGACCTAGATATCAGAATTTGTAAAAGTTTCCCAGGTGATTCCAACGTGAAGTCAAGGGTGAGAACCATTCCCTTGCACAGAACCTCTATTCTCACTGGTCCTATTACACCTCTTTATAATTTGTGATCCCATACCGAATGATGAGTTCTCTGAGGATAGAGTTGATTTTTTATTAGATTTTGTGCCTGCAGCACTTAGCACAATACCTGGTATTGGGCAAGTGTATAAGAACAAAACTGGAGATAAACATAGCCCTCTTCAG